GCTATCTTACAATAGCCATACATTTGGCTAGCAAAAGATATGTAGAAGGAACAGGAACACAAAGATTGTTCCATTCTTTTATCTAGAGCATAGGCAGGTCTAGATGGTTTTGGTAGGCAGAATTCTAAGAAGGCTGCCCAAATTTCCATTCCTGGTGCACATATCCTATATAATTTCCCTCCTCTTATGTATGTGTGTATTTATGAATATGATAGTATTTACTGCCACAATTAGATTATATTACATGGCACAGCTGACTTTAAGAAAGGAAGATTATCTTAGGTAGGCCTGAACTAATCAGTAAGTCCTAAAAAGGTACTGGGTTCTGCTGAAGAAATAGATTTGAGTAGTATGAATGATTCACTAAAAGGGAGATTCTCCATTAGTTAATTTAAAGATAGAGAAGGCTATGTGAAAAGGGCCTGAAAGGCTGCTAGGAGGTAACAGAAAGTGAGAAAACAAGGGCTTCAATCCTACAACACAAAAAACTGAATTTTGCCAATCACCCAAACTGATTTGGAAGTGGATTCTTCCTCAGAGCCTTTAGGTCAGAACTCAATGACTAATGCCTTGAATGTGAGATCCTGAGCAAAGAACCTAGTTGAGCAACACCAGACTTAATAGCCTATTGAACTAAGAGCTAATAAATTCGTGTTGTTCTGAGATTCTAAATTTGCTACTATTTGTTATGCAATAGAAAACTGATAAATGAATACAGTGGTATTCCAGTTAAATGTGATTAGGGTTTTTTTTAATATTGTTTCTATATATCCTCTTTGTCTTTCTTCAGCCCTGATCTATTTCTCCACCATGTAATTATTTCCTTCAATATAACTGGAAAATGCCATTTTGTTAGATTAAGATAGTATCTCATATCAAAATCACAGCAATCTCTCCCTCCCCTTATGGTTGACTTAAGACGCAGAGATGTATGCATCTTGTGTATATTATACACATAGTTAGGGCTTGAGGACAAACCAGAAAACACAGATTTCAAGAATTAAAACAAACTGTCTGTGTATTTTGAAGTACCTCAGATATGTTTCATTCAATGGCATCTAGTTATCTTGAAACACAGTAACCTTGACATAGTGGTTGAAGAAAAAGGAGAAGCAATGTAAGCACAATGCCTGAACATTTTAATATCTTTTATCAATAAACATTACTAGAATGCCTTGCATTTGAATTCATGCTTTTTCTGAGGAAAGCCTGCATTCTATCTTCTGCTTCCTGATATTGCAGCTGGATCTTATTACAAGAGTAGGAAGCACCATGGGAAGCATGCCTAAACATTTTAAGCTACAAAATGAAAGCTGATCTTCATTAATTAGATGTCTAGATTATGCAGATTGAACACTGTATTATTATATCCAACATGGTGAAAAACACTATTATGTGGCTTATTGATAACCCCACCAAGATAATTTAGCTAAGCCCTATTTGCTATTAACCGCATAGGCCGGATTTGGTGTCAGGTCAAAAATCAGATCAAACTGTGGCTTTGTGGTTGATGATTGAGAGAATGGTCTACAACAAAGGGAACTGAGAGTGCAGTATGATGTCTTTCTAACATTTAATTCAGGAAAAATGTCATCTCCAGCATATAGTGCTGCTACATAATGCAGATTAAGTGAAAACATTAACAGGTCAGTGATTCATGATTAAATTCACCATTTAAAACTCATATTCTCTGCCTTTGTGAAAACTAAGGAATTGGATGAACAGAGAAGCCACCTAGCTTTAAGTTTAAGCAAATTTGAACAATGGATCCTAGAATGGAGGGTAAGTCTGAAGATGACGAACCTTCAGCTGAATAATTATTAGCAACTTTAATAAAGGGAAGAACTTATGAAAAAATACTTAACAGATCATGATCTGAAAAACTTCAAGATCCGGGCTCCCAGGCAAATCCCATCAAAGATTTAGGTTTTACCAACTTTAACCAAAGTCTTTTGAGGTGCTAACGTCAGTACTAATGAAAAGCTATCACAAAACTCTTATTTTAACTAATTATAATCTTTATCTTCTCCACCTTCTTATACCAATGGCTTTGCCATTATATAATTATGCTGAGGGCAAACACTCCAAGCTCAAATGAAATAAACGACTTCAGTTTATGCCCACACAGACCTTGTCAAGTAGCCAATGACTCGCCCTTTCATTGTGAGTGACTAATATCAATGCTGGTTCTAAAGAAAGACACTTTTCATAATCTCCCAACAATCTGCTAAGTGAAAACATATGGATGAGCTTAGGCAAAGCCTGCCAGGGGTCTTTGCTGAATGGAAAACAGGTGCTCTCGTTCTGTGCCACGTAATACCCCATTTACCCCCAAGTCCAAAGGTTAGAGGACTAATAGCTCTGCCTTGTGGTAATCAGGGAGAGCCAAGACACTAACCTTGGTGAAACATCTGGGACATATTTTACATACTTGCAACATATGCTTCAGGTTCAATTAAAGTGAGGCTTTGGCACATTTATTAATCTTTTTTACTTTTATCCTATAAGAGGACCCACTGACCTGACCCCACTATTATACCATATGAGAAAACAGAGAAATAATGAGAGCTAGAGGTCAGTACCTGCTCGTATGGCAAAAAACACATTTGTTTTCTCATGAAATTCCATTACGCATGACTCTATATGCAAACTTTAAATAGAGGAACCAATGAATTTTTCAAAGTAGGAAATTACCCTTCTCCCACTCAGACACACTGTAGCCAAGACTTACAACATTTACTGCTGTGAGAACCAGTCAAGAGTCGGAAGCTGGTAAATGGAAACTTGAAGGATCCTCTCATACTTCCATTTCTTACAATAAAAACTTTATATTTCAAGACGTCCACTCTTAAGATTCTCTCCTCTATTATGCAAGCACTTAAAAGTCTATTGTAAATTATTACATTTGCCATCTTCTTTTTTATTCAGATATGCTTTTTATGCCATCAATTGCAATATGAATAAAAATACCCTCCTTATATATCACTCAAATAAAAGGTTGGATTTATGAAAATCAGCCCACAATCCTTTCATATGGAAAACACACTGTGTGTAGGCATCTGGTACAGAAGAATAGAGTTGAATTCACACAGTAATTTAAGTGCTCAGTTTCAATCAACTTTGGTAACTAGATCTGAAAATGTGTTAGAACCAGAGTGTCGATTTCAGACAACTGAACACTACATTACAATAGATGCCACTCCAGAGAGTTGGTGTTGTTTCCACCCTGGTGTGTTCCACTTGACATCTATGTTTTGGTGAGGTGCTTAACAAGGCGTGTCTATTTGTTCCCCACTCCTAACATCCTCGCTATTAAAAAATGACCATAAAAAGGAGAGATTAGTGGTACAGAGAATCTACAAACAGGTAAAAAAAAAAAAAAAAAAAAATACCAGTGACTTCAACCAGGAAATGAAGTACTAGACTTCACTAAGGGTTTCCACGTATTCACATTTCTGTGGAAACGCCTGCTGCTGCAATGGATCTTTATGGTGGCTTTAATAATAAAGCAGCAACAAGCAAGGGAAAATGGCCATAAATGGATGGCAGCTCAGTGTTTATCAGCAGAGAAATGATGATTCAGAGCTGGCATGTTGAGTTAAAATACAAGCTCTCTACAGCTCTACCACTGACCTTAACAATAAATCATATCATTTATTGCCAGAAGTGTATGCTCATGTTATTTAACATTAAAAACAAGCACATATGTGTTTTTGCAAGAAGGAGATTTTGTTAGTTTATGTTTGATGATGTCGCTAATGACTAAATGATGTGCAGAAGAAAAATTTCACATAAAAGCTCTCTCAATTTAAAAATGTTTGAAATAGCCTTAGAAAGGAATGTGTGTGTGTGTGTGTTTCCATTTTCCTTCAAGCACTGAATATCAGTCATGAAAAAAATCATCTGGGAGGTTAACTAATCACTGTGAATTTTTGTGTTTAGACATTTCTAATGCTTGCTTCCTGCACAGAAATTCTTATACTGGGATATAACTGTACATCTCAACTGGAATCAAAGGTCAAGGGCATAAATTAAGAAGCACTGTTTTTCTCCTTTCTTCAAAAATTTCTTTGCTTTACTACAACAGAAGTCAGATAGATTCTGGTGAAGGTCAAAATCTAGTTTTATAGGCTGAACAATGTGGAAACAATTAATGCTATTCTCTCTCTCCGTCTTCCCAATTCCACTCTGGGGCTTTTTATATTTTTGCTCTAGAAATTCCCAGAGAAATGATAAGGTAGCATGATGATCCTCCTGCCATAGAAAGCTGTCCTTCCAACCCTAGCCATTGCTGCAGTGATGCAAGGTCATTCTAATTTCTTTCCTATGGTGTTCCTTCTCCCCAGGGGACAACCAATCCAAACAGTCTCAGAAACTAGCTGTTATTTACTGTGGTCACCATCCTCAAGTCAACCAGCAATCGAAATGTGAGCCTCTCCGAATGGTCTTTGCAGACCCAGGTGCCACAGGGCCATTCCATAGCTGGCCAATGACTGTGGACACCGGGATTATTTAAACATCATCTGAAGCATTCCACATATATGTGTCCTTTTGCTGAAACAACTTTTTTTGAAATTACAGATGACAATATCCATGTTCAAACTCACACAGGCTGCTGCTAGTTTTTCACTTCCCTCTCCTCTCAAAGTGTAGCCCAATTTGTAATACTCAAGATAGGAGAAATTTTTGCCCTTCAAAAACAGTTGTCACTGCCGTTATCTTCACGAGAGCTATCAAGTTCCAGACAAGCTGAATTATTATTATTATTATTTTTTGTTCCTGGCAGAAAAATATTTGACCCGGCTCTGGACAAAAACGAAAAGGATTTATAGCCTTCTCTCCCTCTTTGCAACATGTAGTGGCATTGTTAGGATGATAAACAGCACTGTCCAATTTTCTGGACTCAAACACTTCAACTCCTTTTTTAACTGTCTGTGAAAACAGTGTCATGTCTACATTTCCCCATCCCCAGGTACCCAAGTGCTGGGAAAGATAATTACCTTGTCATCTTTGTCATCTTCTTCTTCCTCGTCCTCTAGCATGTCCTCTACTACCTGCAGACAGAAACAGAAGTCATTGTCGTGATCTTAAAGGAGGGAATTTTGTTCTGTCATTTTGAACCTTTAAGAAATGAAAACTTTATTAACATTTGAAACAGATGCATGGAGAGAGAACATTTGATCTAGAGATAGGGATTAGGAAAATTCTATGCCTTTAATTTATCAAAACCAGGGAACTGAACTTTACTCTGGGAAACCCTATTTGTATGAAAAGCTTTGTGACAACTTAAAGATTTTGAAATGCACATAAAGTGAACCAGTATTACATTGGTGGATGTTTTAAACCAGGACATTTCCTTCCTACCTATTCTGCTGTCTATATTCATCTTGTACTTTAGAGCTAGATAACTATGCATAAAACAACTCTGCTATTTCTAATTTACTTTTCACCACAAACTCCAAGAAAGAAAACTTGTGTCTTTCAGTTAGTTCATGCTGGTGATCTACGGCATAAGATCACCTAAATCTTCTTCTGGCTCAAAATTCTAATTCTCATGTATAAAAGTCATTCTTGACCATCTTTGTATTACTTTTTGGTGTGATTTTGTGGGTTACTTGTAACTTGAATTTTAATTCTCTGTACTTTTACACATGGATTATATTATGAGAATGGGGATTATTATTTTAAAAAAATGAGAAATGTATCCTATACTGAAGTACATCTCATATGTTTGTATAACCTATGTAGATGGATATGCATGCATGTGTTTTATTTGTTGGCTCCTATATTGACTATTTCAGCAGAATGGAATAGTTCTTTTGGATTTGTCAAATAATTTTCTCTTGTCCCAATCAATATATTACTGTAGGCATTAAGAATGGGATCTCACCCCATTTCAGATGATTCTTTATGATTTTACACACTTACATACACACACACACACACATACATTCCATGGAAATAAAAATCTGAAAAACTTCTGGGAGGGGTTGTAATTCAGGTAAACACCAATTTATGGTTGTGTCTTATACCATCCAGTCTATCTCTGGATAGAATCAACAGAAGATGGTTACCAAATATTTTTAAAGCTTTCTATCAAAGCTTAGGAGCTCTGGTAGCATAGTGGCTAAAGCACTTGACTGCTAACCAGAAGGCTGGCGGTTCAAACCCACCAGCCACTCCTCGGAAGGAAGG